AGGAGAGAGGTTTGAGCGTGGCGCACAGAGGATTCTGAGAAACTGCTCTGTGTGACTCTGTCGCGCTGGACACGCCGTACACGTTTGTCCAAACCCGCAGAACGCACAGGAGGAGAAGGAACTCTAACGTGAGCGCGGAAACGGCGGGCCACATTGAGTCACTGCAGGTCCGTCGAAGGGAACAGCCGTGCAGCTCGGGTGCGGGGGGCGGGGGAAGGGGGGTGCCAAAACCCTCTTCACTTTCTGCTCAATTTTGCTGTGCATCTAAAACTGCTCTAAAAAATAAATTTTATTCATGAAAAAAAATCAAACAGAACCAACAGACATAAAATAAAAAGTAAGTCTCCACCTACACCGCAGCCTCCCGGCCCTGCTCCCCAAAGGCACGTGAGGTTGGTAACGTTGTGTGTGCCCTTCTACAGCATCTACACATGTGCAAGACAAACACGGGATGTTACGGTCCCACAGTTTCCCTTTCCCCGTGTCATCTCAATGACTGAATCAACTGAGCTTTTGCTGGGCGCACACCTGGCCTTCCAGGGGCTTGTCCCCCAGCCTCCCCTGCAGCGAGGCAGGGCCATGCAACCGACTCCCTGAGCCCAGACGATGGACGGGAATGACATGGCTTCCGCAAGGGGGGAGTCATCCCCTCCATTTCTCTGCATCCTCCCCCGTGGGCTGAAACTCGGCGCTGGTGCTCTGAGCCCGCTCACAGCACAAGGAGGAAAGGAGGCCACATGGACGGCGGGCTAATCCTCTCTGCGCCCTGGGCCCCTCTGATGCTGGGGTCCCCTCCTCAGACTAACGCTTTTTGATGTGTTAAATAAAAGACAACAAATTATGTTGAAATATAGCTACTGAAACATTTTTAAAATGTGTGTTTTGGTAACATCTGTGCCTCCTTATTGACGCCAGCAGGTAAAAAGTCCTGGTTGAGAATAAATTTACGGACATTTCAAAGTTGGACGAGCATCTGTATCTCGGGACACTTGCAACAACCGTCACATGACATGAAAAGACCCGGATTGCCCCTGGCCGCCGCCACGGCTCTGCCGGCACTTCTGAGGCCACTGCCTCCGTTCACGGAGGACGGACACACTGAATTTCTATCAGAGGTTAGCAACATAAGGTGTAGTGTTTCTTCCCAGCCAGAGTCACAGACCCCCCCGACTCTCCGTGCAGACGACAGGTGAGACCCTTGCTCTATGCGATGGGGGAGCAATGAGGGAAGGAGCCTGGGTCCCTGAACAACTTCGAGGGGGAAGCTGTGACTCTCCTTAGACCTTCTGCGCCTCTCTGGACCCCCTTGTGGCAGAGGCAGAAGTTCCACCTGGCTCGGACCTCTGTGTCCCAGGGTCTCTGCGTTACAAAGCTTTATGCTGAAAACACAGTAGAGATATGACTAGTGAGCAACGTGTGAGGCGGTTAGGAGTTGGCTCTGGACACTGGCTGCCTTAGTTCCAGTTCCAGCTCTGCTACTTCCTGCTGTGTGCACTTTGGACTAGTTACTTAACCTCTCTGAGTCTCAGTTTCCTTACCTGTAAAATGGGGATAACCACCATGGTACCTAGCTAATAAAGTCACTGTGCGTAACGACACAAGGAAAGTGATCAAGACTCACAGATACAGAAAACAAACTTATGGTCACCAAAGGGGAAAGGCGGGGAGGGCTAAGGTGGGAGTTTGGGATTAGCAGATACAAACTACAGTGCACAGAACAAACAAACAGCAAGGTCCTACTATGCAGTCAGGGAACTAGATTCAATAACTTGTGAAAACCTCTAATGAAAAAGAACATACATACGACGTGTGTAACTGGTCACTGTGCCGCACACCAGAAACTAACACAGCACTGTGCATCAACTATACTTCACATAAAAAATTTTAAAAATGAATTTTAAAAAGTGATTAAGAAAGTGCTCGGAACACTAGAAACCTCCCCTAAACAGGAGGTGTCGTTACTGTCACTGTCTGACCCCTTGCGCTTCTCACCAAGCTAGACGCCATTCCGCACAGGCCACGCAGATCTGCTTTGATTTTTCTGAAATCTGTGTAATAATGTGCTGAACGAATATGCCAACATTCATTTAAGCGTCCCCCAGCTACAAAGTGATCATTCAGAACGCCCCTCAGAGTCCACTTGAGAGGCTGGCCTGTCAGTTACGCAGCGAGCTTCCTGAAACCCCTCCGCTCACCCCTCGTCGTGAGCTTTGCTGCCCCTGTGCTGAGGCCTCGTCTGCACACGCTGAAGTGCACCCGTCTGAAGTGCAGTGAGCTCTGTCATGTTTTGTAAGAATAAGACGAGATGTATCAAACAGCTTGGAAAAGTGAAATCATAGGAAATAGAAGGCACTGACATTACTCCCACACACTGTGCGCTTTCTGTTGATCGAGGGGGTCCTGTCCTGAGACAGCGCTGTGGGAAGCAGCTCAGCCTCCCACTTCTCCAGCAATGTCCCCAGACGTGTGTCTGGCGGGGCACCCCTCCCCGACCCAGCCCCTGTGCTTTGGGGCCAGGCCTGAGTGATGCCAGTCAGGAGCCTCTGGGCCAGTGCCAGGTTCGAGGGACACACGGGACCCATCTGAGCCAACGAGATGCAATGAGACTTGTGCTGGGGCTTCTGAAAAGAAGCCCACCCACCACTCTTTTCCTGTTGGACGTAAGTGACAAAGGATCTGGTGCCACCTCGCCCATCCTGCAACCGCTGTGTCTGAGAAGGGGTCAGCTGGGCAGAGACAGGTCCCACCGGGCTAGTGAGCCCGTGTGAGACCAGCATTGCCCTCGGAGTCCTCCCTTTGCTGAGTAGTAATAAACCCAGTGACTTGAGCCAATTCGATGGGTTTCGACCGCTTGCCATATTCAAGGCTGGTGTAGGAAGATTCCAAGATTTAGGCGACGTGAGGAAGGAAATTAAAAATCGCCCAGGAAGCTTACCCTACCACCCTGTGGCAGCCATGGGCCACCTCTGGTGTCACACACCTGTGCGGAGTGGCAGAGCAGGACAGGGCAGAGGGGGCAGGAGGGCTGCAAGCAAGGGGGTCACAACAAATGCCCAGCAGACACTTCGGGGGTCCTGCCCTGGGAAGACCCTTCAGGGGTGCCCCTCGGAAGCAGAGATGCTGGCCCTGTGTGCTGTTACCCCTCCCCTCCCCCACACCAACTGGTCACCGGATGCAGGCTGCCCTGGGAGGGCGGCCCTCGGGGAAAGCCCCTACCTTCAGTCAAGGGCAGGGTCTTGGGGGGACCCAGCTTTGAGCTGTGGGCTCCGCACAACCCGCAGTTGGGAAATGCATTCTTCAGTCCTGGATGAGGGGCCTGGACATCACAGCATCCACTATCTGCATGGCTCCTTTTAGTTTATTTTATCCACGTCTTTTTCCTCCTTTAGAAATTCTGGTCATATTTAAATGCTGTTTTATAGACGGATAGATTTTTGACCCTAACATTACATTCTGAGCATTTTCCAATCATTAGATGTTCTTTAAATGTAAACTAATGATACTTCAATTAAAAAATATATATAGAACAAAAAAAGATTCTTTAAATGAATTGTAAACACAGATTCCTTCATACAGGTACCACAAAGTATTTAAATACTCTCTTACTACTGGACGTTCAGAGTATTTCCAGTGTTCCTTAATCCTCGTACGTAAATTTTTGTTTGCATCTCTGCAGCAAGTGGCCAGGAGTGGAATTAAAGAGTTAAAGGATATAAACTAGTTTAGCATTCTGGGCAAACTGCCCTTTGGGATTTTATGTCACATTCTGACAAGAGCTACATTTTTCTCATTAGAATTGGGTATTTCCGTGTTCTAATTCTTGCCAATTGACCAAAAATGGTATCATATTCTTGCTTTGGTTTCTTTTCCCTAATGAGTGATAACTTTGAAGATTTTTTTACTATCCATTGGGTTTTTTTGCTTGTTTGTTTTTTGTTTGGTGTTAATATCCTTTGATTTTGTGTGTATGTGTTTATTCTTCTGGCAAACAGTCTGGCCATTTTGAAGGGCTAATTTTTCTATTTGATATCAAACAGTCTTGTTGATTTATTAAAGCTCTTTATATATTAAATATACTAAACTTCTGTCTGCTTTATTTGTTTAAAAATATCCTTCCGTTAGTCAATTGCATTTGAATTAAATTAGAATGGTTCTGAGGAATGGCTCATAAAGTTTTAAAAAATCTTAACTTTTTAATTCCATGTTCTAAAAAGGCTTTCCCCATCCTGAGACATAGTAAAGATCGATCTTCACTCACACTTCTTGTCTGAAACCCAACATCTTCCTCAGGAAAGCTCCCTCTGACTGGGCTGAATCTTCCGGTGAAGCCCACCCACAGCACCACGTGCCCCTTGCTGGAACCCCCATCACTGCTGCAGGCTTCCATTTCTGAGTGTTTATGAGCTTTGAAAGGCCGGGGACACGTCTGTGTGTTGTTTACTGTTGTGTTCTCAGAACCTGGCACGGAACCTATCACTGCAGATACAGTGTCTAATTTTTAACATTTTCAATATTCACTTCTAACTCCCTCGTCACCCGGGAGTCTATTTTACTGAAGGATATGAAGAACATTTCTGTCTTCACTTTGTCCCACCACTTACAGAACAGTCCTGCCTCTGCCCACGAATGTCGTCACCGACGTCTGTCCGTCCGTACCTGTGCGTGCGCACCCACACACGCACACACACACACTCAGTCCTGACTCTGCTGGGGTCTGCGGTGAGCCTCGTTCCCACGTTACCTGGTCCCACCCATGGAAACACAGCAACAGGCACTGCTCTGCTTACCGTGGAGTCAGATTTTGCTTTGTTATCTGACTGGACAAGTAACCTGTCACCATGACTCTTCCCCTAAATGTACTGGTCCTAATCAGCTGATCAAGCCCTCCGCCCCAAGACAGTTTTTTAAAATAAATCATTAAATTGAGATGGTCGGGAGCTCCTGTTGCATTCCCTTTTTTTAACTTCATGGACTGTTTGGGCAAACGTGTGCCCACTTACTTGAGCAATCCGGCCCGGTGGAAGATGTAGAGGTCCTGCTCCAGGGTGCAGGTGCTGAAGGGGACCGCCTTCACGAAGTTCTGGATGAGGACAAACTCGGGGGTGAGGTGCGGCAGGGAGATGACACAGAAGTTCTTGTCCTGCGTGATGGGAGGCCAGAAACCATCCATCACTAAACAAACTCCTGCTCCAAACACAGAAGAAAACAGGCATAAACTGCGTAAAGGAGAGGGTATTCAAGCGACAGATTCCTGTAACTTGGAAAGTAATTGTAAAATTCAGGGGGACAGCAGGAGTGTGGGGACAATACCTGCATGTCTGACTGAAACCTGGACGATGACACCTGTCAACAGCTGGCCCCTCTGGCACAGCTCTTCGGTGGAAGCAGATTTTTAACCTAAGCAGACTTTAAAACGTTTGCTTGTAAACGCACCCGTGTCCAGGAGAGCAGCAGCACAGCGTGCAAGGCCTTGGGTTCGCTGAGCGATGCTGCCCCAGCCGTGGCCCCCTCCTCAGCAGGATGAGAGGGCAGTGCTCCAGGCCTTTTCCGCTCTGAAACCCTGCGCTTGCCCATGGAAGGGCGTCTGCGTGTTTTTTCACGACCACGTGGGTGAAGAGATCTAAGAGCCTGTCTAACCTGGGCGGTGGGTTTGGTTAGCAGACTTAGGAGGACGTGCGTGTCCTGACCCCCTAAGTCTGCACTGCCCGACGGGGTGGCCAGGAGTCACGTCTGGCCACCGAGCACCTGCAGCATGGCTAGTGCGACTGGGGAACCAAATTCTTTATTTCACTTCATTTTAACTTTGTAAATTTAAAAATAAACACTCAGTGCAGTGACTGGAAAAGGTTTCTGTGTGTTTGGAACAACTTGGGTCTATGAATCTGCTCATTCAGTGGCAAATTTTACAAAGTCTAAACGCAGATCAAGAATTCCTGACCTGTAGTTCTTGTCCTGAGATGTTCCGTAAGTGTAAAATGCACACTGGATTTTAAAAACTCAGAGAAGGGAAGTAAAATATCTCAATAATGTTTCACGTTGATTGCATGCTGAAATGATTAAACCTTTCGGACCTATTGCAGTAAATAAAATATATTACTAAAACTGACTTCACCTGTGTCTTTTTACTTTTTTTTTAATCGTAGCTGCTGGAACACCTGGAATTTGTTGTCTACGGGACAGTGCTATGCTCCGCACGTCCCCCCTGCCCCCCTGCCAGGTGCCTGCAGGGGCAGCCTGCTCTTCCCAGAGCTAATTTGTCCCTGTGGGATCTCACCTCCCCCTGAACCCTGTGAAGGCACTGCCCGTGCTCATCCAAAACCCTGGGGACACGTGCGCGACCCAAGGGAGTAAAGCATTGTTTGACCTCATCTTCCTTCTTTCTAGCAAAATAACACAGCTCCTTCTGAGGAGACTTCGAGTCAAGTTGCTGAAATACTCAAGCTGAAAATAAAAGGACAGGGTGCCAAGTCCCAGGGAGCTTCCTGCGGGAGGAGGAGTCTGTAATGAGTTGCTTCGACTCGGACAGGAAGGATTAAGGTTGAAGTAATGAAGCATTTGGTTCCTGTCTCCCTGTATCCTGAAACAACAGAGAACTAAAAAGGAAACATGTCTCTTACCCTCTTAAAGCCAGCACTGGTTTTACAAGTTTGAAAAGCTGCTTTTATGGGGACTTTAAAGTAGGAATGAATTAAACTTGGTGAATTTATATGCGGGCCTCTCTGAGGGAAGCCGGCTTTGCAAATCCCCCCTCAGGTCACCTACAGAGCTTTACAAGCTTCGAGATGCCTTACAATTAATTAAAAAAAATAACAATGGAAAACATTATTGCAAGGCTTCACTGTCTTAACAAAATGAGGAAATGTGAGCTAGGCTCACACAGCTTTCAGGCAACACAGTTAAACCATACTTGGTTTTTGCCTCAGTTGAAAGAGCATCAAGGAAAAAGAAATAGGTATTTTGCCTGCAATTAGCCAAGAAGCGCAGTGTTGGCCTGACCTCACTGATAGGCTGGCCACAGAGGGAGTCATGAGAAAAATCCATTCTGTTCTCAACTGGCTTGCTCCCCTACTTTCTTCTCTGCAATAAAGTGATGAGAGGTTGGCCGGAATCTCTATCCTTTGACAACCATGAAACAAATGAGGAGGAGGCCGGGACTCCGTGAGACGGACAGTCCTGTTTGCACTTGGACGCGTGCCTGGGGCCGTTCACCGCCCCTTGGGTGGTGGGTGGAGCCCCCCACCCCATGCATCCTCTCAGACCCGGCGCCCAGCAGGGCCAGCAGGGAGACCAGCCACAAGTTCCCACCTTCCTGCCTCAGAAAGGCAGTCTGGTGACGTCCAAATTCTGTGAGCCGGCGCCAGCTAGAAAGCGCCACCGCGGCCGGATCCAGCTGAGGGCAGCTCCCGACCCCTGCCCCCAGCTTTCTGTTAATGCTTTGATTCCAAGACAACACTGGTAAAGTAACCTCTGAAGGAAGCTACGCGCTGAAAGAAAGCTATTAAAACAGCACGACGGAAAAGCTATGAAAAGTGACAGTATCTTCCACATCTAAGAGTTCATGACATGTCATTCAGCCTTTTTTTCAGAACAGAGATGCGGCTCAAACCTCAACATTCACAGCATACGAAACGTTTGGACGGTGAATATGGCGTTTTACTTTCCTATGACTTTTCTAGCTTATAAAACCAATTATATCACTCAAAAGTCAGCGTGTACTTACAGGAAAAAGACCGAAAACAAAATTCATGAAGTCCAGGGACCTGTAAACAAGACAATAAGAACGGTCACTGTCCTGCGAGCAGAGGCAGCCCCAGAGCACGTGTAACGGGCCGGCGGCTCTCCCGCCAGGGCGGGGATCAGCCGGCCGCCGCCAGTCTGCGTCCAGCTGAACGTGAGCCGGTCGCAGAAGGCACTGGCTTCACGTGTCAGCAATAAAGTATTTTTTCTAAAACCGAAGGTACTATTAAAGCAATTAATAATCCCTACACCTCCGAAAAGCAGGAGAGTCATTCAGTGGACGTGATCCTTCCTTTCCTTTCCGGAAGAACTGGGGAGAGATACGGGCACATCATAAGCCGCTCTGGGCTTTTCCTCTTTTATCTGCAAAGGACTTTTGAGCAGCTGCAGATGCATATCCACAGATGAACCAGAATGGGTCGTTGAATTTTTGTTTGAAAGTAAGAAAGCTCGGGAAAATAAACATACGCAACGAGTCTGGAAGGAAGGGTTCACGGGCTTTTTAGGTATCTACAGTGTCGTTAGAATAAAAAGATTTCCCTTCTCAACCTTTCCGTTGAATTTCAATTCTGAAGAAACTGGAAACTCAAGAGGGAGGAAATGCAGGTGAAGCGTGGTTCCAAGGCAGGCGAGGAGCCAGGGGATGTGATTTCTCCGCTAAAACGGGAGCGTCCAGCAGTGCTCTGGGGCATCTAACAGACACTCCAGAAGCTTCTGGTCTATCAAAACGGGCCGCTCCTTTCCTCGTCACCACTGTTCTGTGGACAGGATGGCAGGGTAAGGGGGCATCCCAAAGGGGCTATGGACTCCACGCTTCGAGGGCAGGGGTCCAAGCCCAGACGACAGGGGGCAGTGAGTGCTGAACATGGGGTGTTCACCCCCTCTCAGATGACCTCTGGGGGGGACGCCAGCCCCGATTCTGTGGGGAGCAGGAGACAGGGGACTAAGCCTTCATAGTGGCCTGGCCCGGCCCAGCCACCAGCTCAGGGGTGAGCACACAGCCCATCTTGTCCCAAGAAGGCTTTGGCTGGACAGCTGGGCCCAAGTCAGACGCCCTCCTGTCCAGATCAGGTGCAGGGCCCGAGCCCACTGTCCGCTCTCTTGGCCCCGGGCAGAGACACCCCTCTGAGGGCGGGCCGGCAGAAGGAACTAGGAGGGTAACTAGGAGGGTAACTAGGAGGGTAACCGGAGGCTAAGAGAGAGACACCCGGTCCGCGATGGGGTTCTCCAAATCCTGACCCACGCCACAACGAACACCAGCCCTACCGCTGGAGTTCCCTTTGTTACTTGAGACAATTGTTCCACTTTTCCAAAGCCAGATTCAGCTGGAGTTTCTACTACTTGCAACTAAAAGACTCCAGACAAGCAGCACCCTAAGCCCAAAGTCCCCTCCAAAGGCAAGCTCGGGAGAACAGGGCGAACAGGGGATGGCCTTCTGGACCCGGACAGCCCGGTCCTGTGGGCCTGACCCAGACTTCGTGGACTGCAATCCCTGGGAATGGGGTCCAGGAATCTGTGGTTTAAAAAAAACTCCCCAGATATGGGAGGGGGGCAGGCTTGGGACCACCAGCTCTGCGAGAGTCACGCCACAGGCGGTCTCACGTGGCAGGCACGCCGGGGCCGGTACTCGCCTCGCCTCGTACTTCTCGTCGACACAGAAGAGCTGGATACGGAAGGCGGCCGAGGCTCCCCTGTAGGTGGGGCGGAAGGAGCCGGTCTCCTCGGGCAGAGACACGGATGCTGAGCTCGCGGTGCTGACCGAGTAACCCACGTCATCTGCGCTGTGCTCCTGGCTGAGCTTTCCTGTGTCCTAGAGCAAGAAGAGAGCAGGAACCTGTTCACTTTCCGCAGCTTACGGGCCAGCGGCTGCTGTGTCTCCACGCTGCACATCCCGGGACAGGTGGCACCACCTCACCTGAAACGCCGAACTGAGCCCGGCGCGGTCCCAAGGGCACGTTCTTAATGAGATAATCAGCGTTTGTAAGGACTGAAACAAGTTCTCACACAAAGGTCAGAAAATAAATGGTTTCAGTTGGCCTTTGATACGGGACCGGTATTTTAACTGCATCACTGGGTGGGGGTTCGAGCCTGGTACTATCACACACTTATTAATTCCATAAGCGAAATATCTCCGTCCCCAAAAGGGGTTTCCTTGTGACGTTGTGCTACAAGCATCTTTGGATCTGGGGACTGTTCAGGCGGTTTGCTGGTGAGGCGGAGCCCCGGGGAGGCCCCCCTGCCCATAGTCACGCACAAAGTCAGAGCTGAGTCCTTCCAGTCCCATTTAGGACCATCTAAGGAGGTGAGAATACAGCTCAGCGAGAGGGAATGACTCACTCCGAGGTCCCTCTCCAAGTTCTCTGAAATCGAAGTAATGCGTGCAGACAGTCAAAATTACAATATAAGCTCTACAGACGTACAAAGAAAACTAGGGGCCCCTCGTCCCCCACTGGCCAGCTCTTCCAACTTCTCCATTTCTGTAGGCGTCTACCTCTGTGTGTCTGAATCTGTTCTTATGCTGCGATGTCTTAATTCCTCAGTTTTGAAACCCCCTCCTGGACACCACCGTGGTGGGCAGATGGGACGCTCTTCCATGCCCCTGCCCAGTATCCTGTCCCCCGGCCGTCCCTGTAATTACAGCACAATTCAGGTCCAAATCAGTAACTATTTATGTTATTACAAATACAGGTGTCACCGTAGGGGAGTGAGCTACGACCACGTTCTCGTTTGTGGACTCGGTTCTGGCACGCTTGCTTCCCTGATTTTTTTCCCTGTGCGTTATCGGAGCTGCCAAGAGTTTGTCCATATCCTTTGCCAAACAAGCAGGCTCCATCTGACCCCAAGTCCCCTCTCCCCTCCTCTGACCCAGCCCGGCGCTTCCTGCCTGGGGCAGCACCTGCCCTCGTTTCTCAAGCTCCAGGTCTTCTCCTTGTCTCCTCCGTTCATGGTTCCCGCCTTGTTATCTATGGAGCATATTTCAAGCTTCCTAAAATCAGCACTGCCTAGTGGGCAGCAAAACTCAACAGCTACTGCTGAGATGGGGCACCTGATCAGGCACTGACCAATGGCCCCCAAAACACACATGGCCTAGGCCCCAGGACCTGGGGACGCACTTTATAGGACAAAGGGGATTTTGCAGACGTCATTAAGGAAGGATATTGAGGCAGGGACATTATCTTGGATGATCTGAGGATGGGGGGGATGAAACCAGAAGTGTCCTTACAAGAGGGAGGGAGGAGGGTCTGAGTCAGAGAGACTGGAAGATGCTACCAGCTCTGGAGATGGAGGAAGGGGCCACATGCCGAGGAGAGCAGGTGTCTTCTGGAGCTGGCAAAGGCAAGAACTGGACTCTCCCCCAGAGGCTCCAGAAGGAATAGGACCCTCTCTGCACCTGGATCTTGGCACAGTAAGACCTGTTTGGGGCTTCTGACCTGCAGAACTGCGGGATAATACATTTATGTTGCTTTAAGCCAGTAAATTGTAGCAATTTGTTACAGCAGTGATTAAAAACAAGCCCAGAGGCCTGGCTTCTGCCAGGAGAACACAGCCGGCGGAGAGTGCAGGGGCCCTCCCTCTGAAAAGGAGAAGTCGACTTCTTTGTCTTTCCCCGTCAGGCAGCCTCGTGCCTTGCAGGCTGGACCCGGATGAGGAGCTGGTTCTGGTCCATCCCTCTAGAGAACCATCATCTGGTCGTTTCATTTGGGGAGGAGCGGACAAGCTAAGTGCCCCCACAGGGAATCTCGTGTCCCCGACACGGTCGGCAGACTGTCACACACAGACCTGGGCTCAGCCCAGTCCTTCCCCGCCTTCCGCAGGAGCCCGAGGTCCCCGGAGAAGCCGCTCCCTCATAACCACACCCTGCCTCCCCCTCTCCCAGCGGTGCTAAGCCAGAGCAAATGCCGCCATCGAGCTCCTTCATTCTAAACACTGTTACGGTGCTCATCTTCCAGCATTGCCTCTCCCAGCCTTGCTGTCTTGTGGATTTGCGTCTTTCTTATTCCCTTACTGTCGTGATTTCAGTGGGATTTTCTTCCCCCAGGAGGGAGAGGAGGTAAACGTGAGAGGCTGACCCGGGTTCCCTCTGGGGTTCCAGCACATCTAACCTAGGGTGGACCACCCGTCCCCGCTCCACAGCCTCGTCTGGGTCCCTGCAGTATTTCCTTCTGAGAAATCCTGGGGAGAGGCTGCTCCCCTCTGCTGCGTGCCCCCCTCACCTCCCCAGGACACGAGGGGTGGGCACCTGATGTGGTTTCCCCAGAAGCAAACTCAGAGCTAAGTCTGTGTGGGGAGTGATGCCAGGAAACTCCGCGAGAGGCATGCGGAAACTGAGGCGAGGAAGGGAAGGTCACCAACGTGGCGGGTTGAACAAGCGGGCTCCTCGTCAGTCCCCCGTAGACGGCGGGGAGGTGCGGGGAGCGCGCGGGGAGCTGTCCCGCCCGAGAGGTGGAGGAGCTGGGGGCTGAGTCCCTGACCGCCCTGTGGACTGCGACCTGCCCCGGGCGCGGCCCCGGGGGAAGACCAGGCACTGAAGCCCTCGTCCTTGGGGTGCGGAGGGGTGAGCAGTCGGGGGGAGGCGGTGGGGGACCCGCAGCACGTGCTAGAGTGAGGCTCAGAAAGCGGACCCTGTGCCCGCCTGGCGCACGCTCTTCCCAGAAGCGCGTCCTGCTCCGGGTCGCAGGCGCTCTCCTCTCCTCCCGACGTGGTGCCCGTTTAACTCAGGGCAGGGAGAGGACATCGGTCTGTGTGACAGGGCCGAGCTTTGCCTCCAGATCAGCCTCAACCAGCATGAAGTGAGATTTTTAATCCCCAGCTGTGTTCCGTGTAGACTGGCCCTCTCTCAGAACCTAACATCTGGGGTTAGCGCTCAGCGAATCGGTCCCAGGGCCATGGGGCTGACAACCGCCTGCGCCCTACTCCGCCGCCAAGGGTTCTCTAGATTTCCCAAGCTGACACACAGACAACTGGAGGTGCTCGGGGACGCCAGCAGGCTCAGAAATGTGCTCATCACCGGAGACGAGGACGTCTGGTCGTGCCAACCTCCCGCTTAAAACCTCCCGAGCCTTCCTCTGCTTCCTAGCAGACGCTCAACACTTTCAGCAGGGCCCACGGAGCCCCGCCCTTCTCCACCTGAGCCCTCAGGCTTCTGGCAGGAACAGAAGGCACGCTCCCGCCGACGTGGACAGAGCAGGTTTGACGAAGGGCCACACAGGAAGGTGTGGGCAGGGATGAGGAAGGGCCCCAGGGATGGCAACCGGGGCAAAGGCTACCAGCCCTGGCCTATGTCTGCGACAGAGGGGAGCGGTGCCTGGGACCAGAGATGCGTCTGAATGACACATAAGGCAGACAGGTGTGTCCACGAATGCTCGCTACGTACAGCTGGAGAAATGTTCGCCAGCCAGAACGTTTCCTCCCCAGCTGATGAGAAGAAGGGAAAACCCCTATGTACTGACATTGTGGGCAAGTAACTCATGTAGAAAGTGCCTCTTCTAGGAGTGCGCCGTGCACGGGACGCAGGCTAAGGGCTGGCCACAGTGCAGCGAAGGTTCTCCGAGGGGGCTTAGCGGAGGAGGCCCTGAGGGGGGAGACGGCTTCCCCTGGGAGAGAGAGGCGGGGAGGCCTGGCGAGCCAAGGGCGCAAGGACTCAGGTGGGGAGGAGTGAGCTTTGTGGGGGCCGCCGTTGCCCCCCCCCCACCTCCAGACAGCCCTCACAAGCCCCACCTCCACTTCGCCAGTGTTTCCACTCGGGACCGGTGATGAAGCCTCCTCCACTGCAGCGTCTTTAGTGATTCTTCCCTGCAGATGATAAAGGCAAGACGTGAGAGTCAACCCCCGCGGGGGCTGAGCCCGCGCTCTGAGAGCGCTGGCTTTCAGGTCCTGGCCCTGCTGCTCTGCGGCCTGGAAGAATGACAGAGCCTCTGCATCCCCATCTGAACCAAGGGACTGAGAGCAGCACCCCAGGTTGTCCTGGGGATAAAACAAGGACAGGTGGAGAGAGACAGGCTTAGCACCTCCTGGCTCTCTGCTGATGTTAGCTGTCCCTCCACTGTCCTCACTCTTCTGTGTAATTTGAAAGCTGCACTTTTTTTTAACTGCTTTATTGAAGAGTAATTGACACAGTAAACTGCATATGTTTAAAGTTTACTGTTACCCTTTGAAAAGTTTTGACTTATGTACGTACCCATAAAAACATCACCACAAAAAATGATGCACATACACTTCACTCCCCAAAGCTCCTGTGCTCCTCTGTGCCCGCCCTCCCGCCACCTGGTGCCACTCTGCTAACGACAGGCAGCCGGAGGTCTGCTCTTTGTCACCAGAGATTACGTGCCGAGTCTGTTCCTGGACCCTCGGTGCCTTTCATCTGTTTGCTGGCCTTGACACCACCACCACGCTGTCTCAGCTACAAGAACCTTATAATAAACTTGAAGTCAGTAGCATGAGTCCTACAGTCTTGCTCTGTTTCCAAAGCTGTCTCGGCTGTGCTGGGTCCTCTCCATTTCCATATGCATTTTGAAATCAATTTTTCAATTTCTATAAAAATTCCTCCTGAAATTTTGACTGGGATTTCATTGACCAATTGGCATCTTGACAATCTGGAGCCCCAGAAACTATGTGCAGGGGAAATTCTCCATTCATTTAGGTCTTATTTCATCTCTCTCAGAAATGTTTCGTAGTTTTCGGTATAGAGGTCTTGAATATCTTTTGTCAGATGTAAACATTTTGTGTATTTGTACTTTTGTAAATGGTATTTATTTCCATTTCTGATTGTTCATTGCTATTATATAGAGATAAAAGTGAGCTCTGCATATTAATTTTGTATATATTTGGCAATTTACTAAATTACTTATTAGTTCTAACAGCTGTTCCACAGATTCCATAGTTATGTTACCTGTGAATAAAACACAGCTTTAATTCTTCCTTTCCAGTCTGGATGTCTCTTACTCCTTTTCTTGTCTTTTTTCACTGGCTTGAACCTCCAGAGTAATCTTGAATGGAAATGGTGAGAACAGACATTCACTTGTCTTGTTTCTGATCTCGGTGGAAAAGCCTTCTTCAGTCTTTTACCATTCAGGATTATGTTAGCTACAGGTTTTTTAAAAAATAACCTCTATCAAACTGAAGAACTTCTCTATTCCTAACTTTCTGGAGTTTTTACAAGGAATGATTATAAATTTTCAAATGCCTTTCCTGCATTTATGAGATAAATATATAGGTATTCTTTTTTAGAACTAACATTCTAAATGGTGAATTACATTGATTGATTTTCTTATGTTAAACCAACCTTGCATTTCCAGAATAAATCCTACTTGGTCATGATGTATTGTCCTTTTTATATACTGATTCAATTTACTAAAAATTTTATTAGAATTTTTCCATCAATGTTCATGAGAGCTACTGATTTGTAGTTTTGTTTCCCTCTAATGCCTTTTGTCGGGAAAGAATGTCCTTTTGATGAACTGAATCCTTTTAAATTTATTGAGACTTACTTTGCAGCTTGGAACATGAGCTCCCTTGGCAAATATTCCGTGTGCGTGTGGGAAGGAGGTGTATTCTGCTGTTGTTGGGCAGAGTGTTCTATTAAGTGCCAATCAGGTCAAATTGGTCAACAGTGTTCTTACAATCTCCTGTATTCTTACCGATTTTCTGTCTCCTTGTTCTATCAATGATGAAGGGAGGGGTGTTGAAATCTCCAAATATGGTTGCTGACTTGTGTATCGTCTTTGCCGTTCTATCAATTTTTGCTTCATGTGTTTTGAAGTTCTACTATTAGGGGCCTAAATATTTAGGACATAATCCTAAACCCCTGACCCCTGTTACCCCGGGTTCTACGCCCCGTTCTGAAATCCACTTTGTCGGAAATGAATAAAGCTGCTCCCGCGTTCGTTTGATCAGTGTTAACATGGTGCATCTGTCTGCATCCTTTTCATTTGAACCTATTGTATCTTTATACCCAGAGAGCCTTTCTGTGACCCACATGTCACTGAGTCCTGCTTTGTAATCCACTCTGCATCTGCTTTGTACGTTCTTTAATTGGGATATTTAGATCATTTTACATTGAATATAATTATTGACGTGGTTACAGGTTTAAATCTCTCATCTTACTGTTGGCTGTGTGTCCTGGCTGTTCTTTAGTCCCCTTTTCCTCTCTTCTTGCCTTCTTTTGGATTAATTGTGTATTTTTACGTTCCTACTTTATCTCTTTGCAGGTTTATTAGATACGTAACTCTGTGAATGTGATTTGTAACTGCAGTATCTTTTTAGTTTATGTAGTGTCATCTTTAAGTCTATCTTCAGGGGATGCAGTAACACTCCAGGTGCGGCGTAAGGACCCTAACACAGTGCACGTGCGTTTCCCCCGCTCGGTCTGCATGCTATTCATGTCTGATGCTTTCACTGTACTTAGGCAGTCAATTATCTTTCAAGAGATATAAATAATAAGGAGAAAATCTTACACATCTACCCCTTCAGCTACCATTTCCAGTGCCCTCCAGCCCTCTGCGTGGATCCAGATTTCCATGTGGCATCGTATTCCTTCTACAAAGGACTGCCTTCCCCGTTCCTTGTCGACAGGCCTGCTAGTAAGGAACTCTCCCACCCCCGCGTGCAGGCAAGGTCCTCCTTTCACCTTTATGTTTGAAACATATTCAGTGGATGTAAAATTCCAGGATGGTAGTTTATTTTCTTCCAGGTTTTTGAAGATGTGACTCCAGCGTCCTCTTGTTTGCACTGTTTCCAACAAGAAATCTGCTACCACCCGTACCCTCAGTCCTTCCTCCGTTCCCAGCTTGTCTTTTTCCCTCCCTCTGGCTGCTTTTAAGATTTTCTTTCCATCACTGGTTTTCCGTGGTCTGATTACGATGGGCTTCGGTGTGGGTCTCCTCCTGTTCCCTGGGCTTGTTTCTGGTTGAACTTGTGTCTGTGTGTTTGCTTTCGTAACATTTGGAATTTTTAAGTCATTATTTCTTCAAATATGTTTTCTGTTTCAGCCTCTTTCTCCTCTTCATTATAGGCTCCAGTTGCACACACATTAGTACTTAAGTCATCCCACAGTTCACTGATACCCTGTTGTTGTTTTAATTCTCACTTCTATTTCACTAATCTCTTTTTCTGCTATGTCTAATCCGTGGTTCACCCTTCCAGTGTATTGTTCATCTCATGTAGTTTTTATCTCTAGAAGCTTTATTTGGGGTGTTTTTACAGACATACCTCGGAGATACTGTGGGGTCAGTTCCTGACCACCGCAAATAAAGCAGGCGTCACAATACAGCGAGGCACGTGAATTTTTGTTTCTCAGTACATATAGAAGTTATGTTTACACTATACTACAGTCTATGACGTGTGCAATAGCATTATGTCTTTAAAAATGTACATACCTTAATTTAAAAATCCTTCTTGCTTAAAAAAAAAAGCTAGCCATCATCTGACAAAGCGGGGTTGCCACAAGCCTTTAATCTGTAGGAAATGCACTCTCCGTGAAGTCTAACAAAGTCAAGCACAGCAAAAGGGGGTGCGCACCTCTATCTCCTGGGCCTCGCCTCCGCCTTTGGAACTTACTTAGTTATGGTAACTGTCTGGATGTTCTGTCCACTAATTCTCACATCCTCGTCAGGTTTGGGTCAGTTTCAACTACTGAGTTATGGCCACCTCTTACATCATGTATTCCCAGTTTTTTGAGTGCCTGGTAATTTTTTATTGGATTCCAAACATTGTGATTGAAACTACCCGGGCACTGGATAACTTGGTACTCGACAAATACGCTTGAACTTTGTTCTGGGACTCAAGCTCCTTGGAAGCTGTCTGGTTTTTCTGGTTCTTGCTCTAAAGAGGCGCTGGGCAGGCCTGGGGCAGTGCCCTCTCTAGAGCTGGTTACTCCAGGACCCTCCTGTGTGTTCCCCCAACGTCGGGGAGTCTCCGGTTCCCCGGGCTGACTGGCGGGGTGGGCAGTCTTCCCAGCCTCGTGTGAGCACTGGGCGCTGCTGACGCTAATCCTTCTGGGAGGGTCTTCCCTCAGCCCGACCCGCAGGAGCCTCCCCACGTGCATGTGCTGCTCAGCACTCAGCCAAATACTCAGGAGTGACCCTCTGCTGGTGTCCAGCACCTCTCTGTGCAGCTCTCTCCTCCCTGGGACTCTGTCCTGCAAATCTTGGTGGCTTTAGCCCCCTGGACGTACCCCTGGGCTCCCACAGTTCCCCTGCCCTGTGCTGTGGTGGGAACTCACTCAGGCAGGAGGTCATGATGACTCGAAAGCCCCCCTGGCTCCTCTCCCATCTCCTGGACATCGCTCTCCTTTGTCAACTGATGAGCAGTGTCTTAAAAACTATTATTTCATTTTTCGACCTTTTTTTGGCATTTTTCAGTCCATCCAGGCTCTATCACCCCATCTTTGCCAGAGGCAGGAACCCCTAGCATGAAGCTCTTTTTATGAATTCCCTTCCTCAGCTCCACCTCGTCAGCCTAGTTCCTGCCTTACAACTGTCTTGAAAAGGTGCCGGTGTCCCTCAGTCCCCTCCTCTGGGATGTTCTCCACTCCCGTTTTCACCCCTGAGTTAGGAGGCCTTCCTCTTCCCTCCTGCAGGCGAAGGCTGTGTCTTGGTCTTGTGACCAAGGTCTTCCCTCCTCTTCTTCTTCCCAAGATCTTTGTTGAGCTGAAGGGCAGGGGGAACATTGTGGTGCCCAAGACTGGGGGCTGGAGTCCAGGAAGCGATGGCTCTGCACCAGCCCTCGATCCTGGGCTCAGGGATGGGTTCCAGGGCCCGGTGCATGGAAGAGTCAGGAGGACCAGAAGTGGAAGGGCCTGTGCAGCGAAACAGGGGCTGGGATTCTGGCCACACATGGTGCTTGTGCAGGACCAGCCTGCCAACAGCAGCCTAGAGATAAGCCCGTTCCTTCTCCCACCCACCCCCGGTGAGGTCTTGTTCTGGAGGACACAGGGGACATGCCCTGAAGTCCCACAGGAGCAGGTGAGGACCCCGAGCCCAGTAAATATGGGCATTTCTACTTCTGTGAACCACCAGCGGTCAGAGGTCGGCAGAGATGGAACCACGGCTGGCTCCCTGGGCCCATCCCCAACATCCTATGTCCTCTGTGTTGTGGCTGACTGTGGCCTCCTGCCATGTGGGCTTGCCCACCTTTAGGTCAGGGCACAGGGTGGGAGGGTGCGGGTGGGGGTCCTGCTGAGGCCAGGCCGGGACAGCAGGGCCAGCAGCTCCCCGGGGGACAATGGCAGGTGCTTCTGTGGCCTGCAGGGCCGTTGGCCAGGAAGGAATACACGGCCTCATTTGAGTCTGTGTACAAGGCGGCTTTTCTAACTGGCTTTAACTGAGCTGCTTTATCCACCTCAGCCCCTGAAACCAGGCGGTGGGTGGGGAGGAAGGTGGAGAGAGGGAATTCCATCGCCACCTGTGTTCTTGAAGATGCTGAGTTTCTGATGCGTCACAGACACACAGCCTCCAGGCCGCTGTCCCCCAGATCTTAGTGCCAGTGAGGACTTTCCCCTGTGGGTCGTGACCCTGGCACCAGGAACACCGCTGACCCTGACCCTGACCCTGACCCTGACCCTGACGGCATGGGCATCCCCACGCCCGCCAGCTCCAGGATGGGCGGATGACGTCCGATACCTGCACACGCTCCCTGGCCTCCGGGGAGACAGCTTCCTGTGGCTCCTCCTCTGTTCTCTGGGTGTCCTGGCTGCTCCTCCCGAGCTCAGCACCTTGGAGAGAAAGAGGGGTGTGAGGACAGAAGAGAGATGATTCGCACCTACAGGGACGGCGTGGTGACCACACCGCAGCGTCGGAAGAGTCACCCTGCTGGGGGCAGCGCCGGGAGTGGGCAGAACGGGGTCTCCGCGGCCCGCCCCACTTTCCACCTCTCCCTGGCCTCATCCGCACCACGGGGATAAAGTGACACCTGGCCCCGCGGGAGCCAAGCAGACAAACCGCTGCCACCCGGGAGGCCCTGGCCCGCCAGGTCCTGAGCTACGTGACCTTTCACAGGAGCGCCTCGGAAGCTTACGGACCGCCGCCCACGAGCCTCCCGGACGGCGGGGGCCGATGTGACTTTAGGTGGGAATGTGACAAGACAGCCAGCGCGCCAGCGCGGGCGGAACGCGGGGACAGCTCCGGGGCTGCTTCCCAGCTCGAGATATTGGAACCGTGCCTCTGCGGCCGCGACTTGCTTCTACTTTCTAAGCAGAACTGGAGGGAGGCATTGCTGCTTTTGTATGTTCTGGAAAGTCGGTAATTAGGGTAGCGTTCATGTATCGACCCTTCGCCGAATATTAGAGTAGGAAAATTGTTCCCATTTTGTCTCAAAAGCTCTTCCCCCACTCCCTTCCCTTCTGCCTCCTTCTGCTCTCTCTCCGGGTCTGTCTTTTCCCCCCTCCCCCGTCTCTCCCGCCCCCGCCCCTCCCCCGCCAGCCCTCCACCCCCACCCCGAGGCCCTGACCTCTGCTCGGAGCAGCCCTAGGACGCGCAGCGCCTCGTAGACGCAGGAGGCACCCAGAGCCTGCGCTCCCAGCGGGGCCTGCTGCCCCGTCTTCTCATTTCGAAGCATCGCAGCGGAAGCCATGGGGCCAGGGGCGGCGGACACCTCCTCTCCCGCTGCGTTTGCCCTTCCGGCAGCAGCCAGGGCAGGGCCCCTGCAGGTACCTCTCCACCCAAATCCCCGGTTACTCAGGCCCTAGGCCTGCTTCTGGCAAAGATGCAGGTGAAGAAAGTAGAATGAAATTCTAAGAGAACACTCTGATGCTCAGGGAGGTGTAAAGGCAGAGACAAGGAGGCAGGTAATGTTGAAGGGACCGCGAGAGAATCGCATCCCTGCGCAGCAAGCAGCTCTTGGGAGAGGACGGGGGGCAGCAGATGTCTTGAGAGGAGGAAGGGCTCAGAATGCCTCCTCTGGACCAAGATGCTTCGGGGAGCATGAAACCTGTTCTGTCTGAAAGCGGCCTGTTCCCCGCGAAGACTTTCCAGATCATCCGTACCCTGTTTCTAGCGTCCCTGTGACGGCGAGAGCGGAGCGCTTTTGAGGTTCAGCTTGTGACTGAGCGACGCGGTGGACGGTGAGGCGACACGACTCGGCCCGTCCCCGCTCCCACGGAACCGGCACCTCCACGACAGCACAGCCCGTCCAGCGCCCAGGAGCCCGCCCCTCA